TTTTTAATCAATCATTTACAGAATGTACAGAACTCTGCAGCTCAACTTATTACACGAAGTATGACCACATTACGCCTATTTTAAAACAACTCCACTAGCTTCCAATCAGTCAACGTATTATTTAAAATTATTACTAATAACCTATAAAGCACTCAACAGGTTAGCACCTGCCTACATTAAAGATTTGCTTAAGCCATAAGTACCAACCAGGACCTTGCGATCCTCTACACGGAACCTAGTTGAAGTACCATCAGTTAATTTAGTTACTTATAACCAAAGCTCTCTTTTGCGGCACCTCATTGGTGAAACTCACTTCTAGGGTGTATTCGCAGAAATGCCTCATTATCAGAGTTTAAAACCAACAATAAGACTTACCCTTTTAAACTTACTCACAGGGACTAGGTTTAGCCAATGTAATATAATAACTATAGAATCTCAAATCATACATCTTTCAGATGTTATCCTTTTAAGTTTTAGGGATTTAGTTTTTAATTGCAGTTTAGAATTTTTAAATAGAATTTTTATTGTAACTTATGGAATTCGTCAGGTGTTCTTTTTATCATCATTGACTCAGATGTAAGTATATAATTTATTATTTTTTCTTTTTTTACCAATTCTGTAAAGCGCTATTGAGCATATGGAAATAGCGCTATATAAAAAAAAGTCTACTAAATAATTGTTAACTATGAAGCTAATTTTGTTATTTTTAGTTAAGAGTGCAACAAAAGGGGAAAGCAAGCTTACCTCTGTGACAGGTTCATTTAATCCCTCTTTACAAATCATGTCAGCTGCATTTCTACTTGTCCCTAACTCATTTTTTGTGGGACACTTGGAAACACAGACCTAAAGTCAAGAAACGGAAGGAAATTTTTAATACATGTGTCTGCAAACACTCCTTGAGTAACATGGTCATTTCCAAGAAAGATTGTTTTTACTGATGCAGTTTAAGTCAAAAACTATGCTTTTTGACATTCTTCGAATCTTCAAGTTTTGCACTCTTTAGAAGGCCTAGCAGGCAGCCTCACTTGTGTAAGTTTGGGGAAAATTTTGGCAGTGAGGCCGCCATTCCACAAGGAATGGTGGCTCTACCGCCAACATTTTCCCCACATTTGCACAGGTGAGCCTGCTTGCAGGCTATAGAAGGCCATACAGTGTACATTGTTCCAGTTGCTTCTTCCCTGTTGACAAACCCCTCATTTGCATTACATGTATGTGTGTGTGTGGAGCTTAAATTATTATACAGCTGTAGGTGACCCAAACGTGGTAATTACCCACCCTTGTAGGCAACCACTAAATAAGATCAGTCATACAGTCAAATTTCTTTAAGATGGGAACGTTCAGGACCAGCCCTAGCTGTCCGTTAGAGAGGTGTCCAGGCTTATAGAGAGTAGAGGTAACGTGCCACCAATAATTATAAAGCTGAACCTATTCACCATAAATACATGTCTGTTTCGCTTGTTATACGAAACAGCTAAAGCTGGAGCATTGTGAACACCAAAATGACTGAAAATTGGCAATGACCAACACCCGGTGTCCCTCTTACAGAGGTGTATGTTAAGAGAGAGTTGTCTGAAGATTAAAGTTGGTTAATGATCCAACAATTTTTTTATTGCAAGGTGCTGCATTAACTACCTACACACATCAATAGACTGTTCCTGATAGGGCAAAAGGGATGAGGAACATTATACACACTTGTATTCTGAGTTATGTACTGTAGCCTGTAACAGCTAAAAGCAGCAGAGCATCTCCTGTAGCCCATAGTGGCCTGGTTTTTATCCTTCAGTAGTTAGCGCTTTAAAAGAGAACCATTACACTGCATGATTAACAAACCGTCATGGGTGGCATAATCACCTGGGGCGTTGGACAAGAAGGAATGCTAACAAACTGTGCCAAGTTTCCACCTTTAGTGACACATGTACTGATGTCAAAGAAGACAAGGTACTTTTTATCCCTAAAAAGAGAGAAAAACAGTCATGTCATCAAGTTGGTCTTTAATCAAAGGGGCTACAGGTGTATGCCATGAAGATATTGCTATTTCAGTTCAATTCTGTGCTGTGGTCATTACTCACTGAGTACCCTTAACCCATAAATTAATGTTCAGTCAGAGGAAGATATTAAACAAATTTCATGAGAGCACATTAACTGTAATTTATTATTCATTCAAAATATTTCCCCAATTCTGATAATTTGGCTAAAAGCATACGCATAATTCACCATAACCAGTTACTGATGACCAAATTTGGAAGAATTTTTTGTTTAACGAGGAAATGACGTCAAAAATGCAGCTTGCTACAGGTTAAGGCACTGTTACCGAGAAGACCTGGGGATGAGGTCGAGTCGTTTTGGTTGTGAAAAATAAATGGCGGACATTTCACTTGTTTCAAGAGAACTACAGCTGGAACTAGGCAAAATAATAAATAAAAACATGGCAAAAATAGCAAGAAGACAACTCCGAGGGCGACATCTACTATTTGGAGAATATTTGCAGGGCTGGACAAACCTAAACGTACACTATCAAAGATGAACTTAACGTTGATGCAGGTAAGCATGTTTTAGCTATGTTTTTAAACTAGGAATTATTTTGAATGAATAATAAAGCAATTAATGAATTCGGCTTTCGTAGGATATGAAGAATTAAGCAGATCAAGGAGGGTGTTATCCACCTAGACCTCATTCAGTAATCATAATACTCTGCCTTATTCATTAATTGCTAAACATTTTTTGGTGATTTTAGCAAGGTTAGTGTTAAAACTTGAAAAGGTTTTGAGTTCATCCTTTCTATCCATTGCAACAGATGACAGGAAACAGCCTCAATGCCTGAATATAGTCTTGAATAACAAAATCAGGCCATAACATTTTTGCAATTCATTTGATGTGTACAACACATTTTAGCATTTTCAAAAGAAAGCAGATGATGTGACATAGTCCCTTTAACCCTTTAAGCCCCAATATCCATAAACAAATTCTCCAAACTGACCTCCATACATCTCCTTTAAAGAATTAGTTGAGAGAATTTGATAAAAGATAGTTGAATTTTCTCTATGATGATCACTTTATTAATTCTCATAACTTTATCTCTTGACAGTGTATAAATATTGTTAGGAGAAAATTGTTGTTGGTCACTGTTGGGACTTAAAGGGTTAAACAAGCATAAGTAATAATTATACCATTTACATAAAACTTTGGGTCCATGATTTAATTAATTCTGAATAACTGAATTAGTTTAATAAATAACTACGTACTATTTCAAAAATGTGCATAACTAACATTAAAAAATAATTCAAGGTACAATAAATTGTTAAAATCAGGGTTGCCAGAAAGTGTTGAAGTAGACGGCTGAGTTGTCAAAGTAAGCGGCCAGTCCAGGGATATTTTATTTACAAAATGCCACCGATAAAGAAATGCCAAGCAGAGTAGCCGGCCGATACTAACCAAGAAGGCGGCGATTTTCGCAGGCGGCTGGCTACTTTTGACAACCCTGTAAATGCACATCAAAATTACTACTTACTGGTGATTACCCTTTCCACATGTATTCCCTGCAAAGAAATACATAATATAATCATTTGTTTCAGATATGAAGAAGTCCATTACATATTTTTGTTCCAGCTGATTTTTTTGCTGTTTTTGACTCAAATTAATCATGTTTTGTTGCTTCATTAAAAACGACATATATCTTTTTGTAGAATACTCTGAAGATAATTAGCTTAAATTGCCTAAAAGCTGACTGCACAATATATACCTGCATGTAACTAATTCAGGATTTTAAATTTTAGTCTGCTTTTTTAATATTACCTTCCTGACAAAGGTTTCCATCCAGCATGGTTTTTATAAAGTCATTTGTGTTGCTGATATTCCTGTAATATTGGCTTGTTTACTTCCCAGAGAGAAACTCTCTTGGGAAACAACACGATCCAACTATGTGAATGTCTGGGTGATCATTGTGGATGCCTTCCGTAAATGCTAAAAACCCCGCCCTGCTAACAGGATGATTTGATATTGAATAGTTTCAAAACAGAAGTGTTAAATCTGATGTACTGAATCAGTTATTTCTAATGTTTCCAATCCATATTTACAGGTTACAGGTAGCTAAGGTCTAGGCCAAATGTCGAACTTCTCATGAGATGAACCAAACTTAGTAAGTTAAGTTCATGAAAAGTTCAAGGTCTGGCTCATGCAGTTAAGTTCCCCTGAATGAGTTTGGATCGTCCAACACATTCTACCCGTCTGCTTCAGATGGATCGGATAGAACAGTTAAAGATCGTCTCCAGGACAAATTAATGTTGATCTTCAAATTTGTATCATAATGTTTATTTAGCCTTGTTCGGGAGAAAATTTATCTCTGATCTGAGTCATTTGATTGGTTCGACACGTCCCAAGTTCAACATCTGACCCAGAAGACGATCTCAACTTAATTTAGGTTGACCCTAGTTAGAGTTTGATCCATCTCATGAAAAGTTCGACGTTTGGCCTTCATGTAGGCCTAACACATGAAAGATAAAGATCTTTAATTAATTACTCCAGAAAAAGACAAGACATACATTAGCATATTATCACAACTGTGTAGACTATCATCATCAGTGATCACAGCATGAATGTTGAGATCACACAGTGTTATATGCCTTTATTAAATTCAGTATTTTAGTTTGATTACCATTAGAATCAGTGGGTAGAAGAAGTCTGTCTGGATCCCCTTCTTGAAAGGCTGAAAGAAGAAGATGAAGTACACCTATTTTAATTTACTTCTTGTAGTCACTAGCTTTGAAAATGCAAACTGTGGGCTGCTTATTGCCCATAAAGAAAAATTGTTAATGAAATATTATAAGAGTTATTCTTAATGACCCCCACTTGAGAATCAACGCAGGTTAAATTTAAATAATTTACTCTGTACTTGCTCAATAAGCAAGACTGGCAATGTCAAACAATCTTTTTCTATTTCTGATGTAAACTCAGATAAGCAAGCAAATATTATTGCCATGGGCAACTTAAACTTAAAAAGCTGCTTTACTGTCAAAGAGGCAAGATAAAATTAAAGCTTTTTGAGCCCTGCATTCAGAAATTGGACTAATTAGACAGAAAAATAGAGTGGATTTGCAAAAAAGCAACAAAGAAATGTTGATATCAATAATTACTATTAATGCTACGCAGGGCATGACTCATAACTTACGATAAGTTAGAAGGATAATATTATGGATTGCTACATCATTACATAACTTACCTATAATACCAACAATAATCATGCCTACAATGTAGGCTAAAAATAGAATACAGCAGGGAATATCTGTACATGACCTGAATTCAGAATACAAAACAAGTTGATCAGAAACCTTGAAAATATCATAACCTAAACACTGCAAGACTGACAAGGTAAATTAAATACCTTGGACTGATTCTAAATTCCGTATACAGTAGAATCTTAAACCTCTGTGGATTACTTTGGTAGCCATTAAGTTCCATGTGGAACAATGTGTAAAACTATTTTCCTTCCTGGCCCAATTACATTTTAGTTTAAGCCAATAAGCTGGAGAGCAGCAACATCAGCAAGGATAGATCTTTCCACTATACCTTGTTTTCAAAAATTTTAAACAATCTAGACAGATCAGTAACACAGAAAAATCCAAGTAACATATTTTGGGGAAAAATCCACTACCAGTTTTGCTATTCACCTACTACTTCTTGCAGATTAAATTTGTCCCTTTCCAAGGTTAGAAGGTTATAGCCATGCAGCCACAATTCCAAGCAAAAGAAAGATGATAGAGTGTACAACAAAACTGATCATAAGAAAGGCAAAGGGAAAAAAGAAAGCAAGAAAGAAAGATCCAAACAGATTCACAAGAACAAAACAAGTCCAAATTTTGGCTTACAGTGTATGCAAATGCAAAATTAAAATATCCCTTAAAGTTGCAAAACTAATAATACATTAATTTTTAGCCATTCCCACGCTAATCAGTCAAAAAAGTCGAAAAAGAGGATTTGGTGAAAATGTACGCGGTTTCTTTGGCTTCTTGCTAGTAGTCACCAAACGGTTTAAATGAAAGATACTCAAAAGATACAAAAAGTCTACTCATTTCTCTCTTCCTCAATGGAGAAAAAATTAAAAAACAGGTCCACCAAAAAACATATTGGCTGGCTGTTGACCAACGATGGCCATAAGGGATGATAAAAGATCGGACTCAGTGGCAGATAGTCGAGCCAATATCTAGTGTAAAACAGGCACAAAAATAATGTACAAATGTACCTGTCAGCAATAGGACCTTTGAACTCACGGTCACGTTTTCTCTTCTTTCCTGAAATATAAAAAATCAAATACCGGTAACTAAAACTCAGATTTTTCTGGATGCATTTGACTGTTTCAATACAGTTAAACCTGTAAAAAGCAGACACAAAACAGTAATATAACAGTAGAAGTGGGAATATAATTACTAATAACAATATTAACAACTTAGTTATTGAAAGGTGATAGGACTGACCGAAGAAAAATTCAGGGAGTATAATCAGGTAAACAACCATTTTTTGAGAATGATCGCAGTTTGACAGGGCTTCTGATAGGTCGTGGAAAAAAAGTCAAATTTTGCGGGATTTTTAGGGACAAAATTGCGGAAGAATCGGCCTATTTCGGGGAATTTCGCGGGAATTTTCTGAGCAAACTTGGCCGGAAAGCAATAGGTAAAAAAACGGCGGATTTTGTGGTTATTTGCAAGGAAAATTTCGTTAGCAATCAATCGGTTTTGCACTGATCAGACCAGCATAGAAGTTTTGACGTAAATTTGTGCATTTACAGCAAGTAAATACCCCCAGTAGCTGAGACAAGTTTCAAAATTGCTGTAGACATCTATTTGATAAGATTTCTACCGAATTTCGCGGTATTTTGTGTGTTTTTGTGAATTTCGCGGGATTTCATGGTTTTACCTCAATTTCGCGGCTCCGCGACCACGTGAAATTTCAGAAGCCCTGGTTTGAGCAAAAAACTTCCTAGCTTAGACAAATTGAGTTTAGAACCTCTTATACAAGTATTTTGTCACTGACTATAACAAACTGACAACAGAGATCAAATTTCACAAACATGTAATCTCAGTAACGAATTTAGACTGCCCCACAGACGAAACTCAACGTCTGGTTAAGTCTGTTTGCAGGGAAGTCCCAACATCTGTGTATGCACAAATAGTCCAGGCTGTCATTGAGGTTTAAAAGTAGTCTTAAAAAAAAGAACCGGTCATTTATCCGACAAATGCTCCTATGTTTGTAACGTTTGACTTCTTTAGAAACTTTAAGTAGCTGGCTGATTTAACTGCAGTAGCCGGACAAAAAAGGCGGCTGCCGGATACTAATGGCAGCCCTGGTCTATGAGGAGGCTCACTTGTGTGAGATCAGGGAAAACTTTAGCAGCTTTGCCATCAGAGCAAGCTGACAAAGCCACCAATTAGGAATAGTAAGCCTGCACATGGGCAGTTGATTATATTTTGCCTCTTTCAAGGTGTAAATGATACTATCCAATAGAAGAAGGTAAATCTAAACAAGAATTGTCAGAAAGTCACATATAGAGATACGCTAAACTGCATCAAAACCCACAGAAAATCAATTAACAGACCACCTTCATGAACCCACAATGTGAGACAAACGGCAAAAATACAGTAAACACCTGCATATAGGAACCTACTATTTTGAAGCCTGGCAAATTTATAGGTTCTAGTAACTTGGGGTACTTATTGGCGGTTCGGGCAAAGTAGGTTCTTAATAGGCCACTTGCACTAAGAGGTCACGTGACCAATACTTCCCTTAAATAATTAGTTGGAATCCTGATGATGCCAAAAATTGACAGAGCACATAAAAATTATCTTACATCCGAAATTTGAGAGGAAAAGCATTTAAGGGAGATATTTTATGGCACTTTGGTTTTTCAACAAAGTAGTATGATTTGTATTGGCCGCCATGTTGGAGGGCATACTCTTGCCCTCCAACATGGTGGCCAAAACTAATTTTTGCTTATGTCTTGTTAAACTTTTGATAGTTACGCTCAGATGTGCTGTGAATGTTACCACTTCTTTTTTTTTCAACATTTTCCTTGAAGTTTAAGTGCAAAATTTGCGTTCAGAAGAAAGTAATTCATAATTTTCAAAATCACATTTTGGTCACGTGACCAGCTACAAACTTACCCATTTTAAGACAATGGTGCAGGTTTGAAAAACCAAATCACTTTTATTTCGTTTAGGATATGACCCACTAATCATTTTTTGAAGGCAAAATCATATAACTTTCACTTTCATAAAAACGATGTCACATGACCTCTTAGTACAAATGGTCTATTAGGTTCTTTAAATTCTTATGAGGGAGATAATAGATTGTTTATTAGGAGAAAAATAAATAAACTTGACTTGGTCCTTAAAAATACAGTATTTATTCGCGATTGTATCATTATGACTCTAACAAACCTAACTGCCACATATAATACAGTTTGGTAAAACATGTTCTCGTTATACTTAAATATTCATTATAACATAGCTAGAAAATTCGCCTAATCAAATTCAATAGCGCAAGCGTGCTTCATATTCCTATTGAGCACGCTGATGATGTCAATAAACTATTCGTAATTCCTCGAGTTGTTAATGTGAGCTTAGCAATCCTGAGTCTCCTGAGTGCATCCATAACTCAGCAGTACACGATGAAGCGTTTACCATGTGTTTTATAAGGAAATTTAGGAGGAAACGTTTGAATTTGCTAACCGATAGTAAGGAAAAGAGGTGAGTGTTGTTGTTGTTGTTGTCATCTCCACGAGCTGTGTGGACTATGGCGTGAGCTCATTCTTTGCGAAGTTGTTTTCTCTAAATAACAATTTTTCGGTGAATTAATAGTCTTCTGGAACCTAAATATGGATTTTACAATCATTTTAGAGTAGACTTTCTCTCAGTTTCAGGATAAAAACATAAGCTTAACTGTGAGGAAAAAAAACATAGTCACGTAAACATTGACGCGTACTGCTTTGAGCGCGCCCTAAAATAATAAAATAATAAATTAACTGCTGCATTGATCAATGATATTGATATTGAGCACTTGCGAAGTTTGGAGCGCACTCAAGAGGCTAGAGTTGCACTCGGCTGCGCCTCGTGCTACTCTTACGCCTCTTTCGTGCTCTCCAAACTTCCCGCGTGCTCAATATCTCGACATACGCACGCTGACGCATGAACTAATATTGTTAAATACCAAAGTTACCCCTTAATTAAATTGTTTACCATAATAACCTACATATAACAACCTGCTTCACCTTGCTTGGCTAAAACAGGTTCTTGCATTTTTGGGTAATAAAGTGGAAATTTTCTGCTAGGAGGTTCTTAATCCACAGGTTTATATGCAAGTGTTACACAGTAACATTTTAACATGGCATGCTTTTTTCCTTACAAAGTTTAATGTGTTAATGTTTATGTCCACTGTCCATGGGTTTTGTTCATTATTTACAATGCAGCCTGTCAAAGCCTGTCAGTTTTAACCAATAATTACATGACTACATTGGTTGGAAAATTATGCCAAGAATTAAAAAAAGTATAGCCTGCATGAAGGTTTACTTTTCCTCACCCTATTCTTCTTGCCAGCTTCACACAGGTGAGCCTCCTCACAGGCTAACATTGCACATACTATAAAAGTGGTCAAGACCAGTGACCCACAACATAAACTATGACACTTGTATCAGCGTCTTTTTTTAAGAAACACACAACACTCATCCATTTCTTCACAACAAGGGCTTAGAATCATTTCCTTGGTTGTTACACTTACATTGTAACATTTTGCACAGTAACACATATCTTTTGTGGTCAAATGAAGCTTAACTTTGCTCTTTTCCTTTCTCTTTAATATTTTCTCTTCTTATTTTGCACACTACATGTTAAATAATTTAATATGTATTTAACAGTTCTGGCTTCAATCTAATTATTAGAGTAAAACCAGAACTGTCAAAAAGGTTGATAATATTTACACAGTCAATATTTACACAACTCGAAGTTCACCAAAAACGCAGTTCTGGATGAACTCATGAATATTACAAAAAGAAAAAAAAAACAAGTTTAATATCCTATTTGAGGCAATGGATGTAAAAAGAGCCATCAGTGACAGTTGATCTCATGCTATATTCTCCTTTGGGTTGGCAAGCAGACAAAAGGTAATTTGGTGAAGAAACTGGTTATTGATCAGAAGTCAGCAGGTGCTCTTTATCAGGCAAAAACTCTTATTTTCAAACATAAATTTTAAAAATTTACAATATTTCTTGACCGATTAGCCCCAAATAGTTGAATGTTAATGTCAG